ACCAGCACCTTTAAAACTTCTCTCTAGATTATCATAATTGTACTGTAGTCTACCAATCTATGGTTTTAAAACTTCTCTCTAGATTATCATAATTGTACTAGTACTGTAGTCTACCAATCTATGGTTTAAAACTTCTCTAGATTATCATAATTGTACTGTAGTCTACCAATTTATGGTTTTAAAACTTCTCTCTAGATTATCATAATTGTACTGTAGTCTACCAATCTATGGTTTTAAAACTTCTCTAGATTATCATAATTGTACTGTAGTCTACCAATCTATGGGTTTAAAACTTCTCTCTAGATTATCATAATTGTCCTGCAGTCTACCAAACTATGGTTTTAAAACTTCTCTCTAGATTATCATAATTGTACTGTAGTCTACCAATTTATGGTTTTAAAACTTCTCTCTAGATTATCATAATTGTCCTGCAGTCTACCAATCTATGGTTTTAAAACTTCTCTCTAGATTATCATAATTGTACTGGAGTCTAACAAGTTATGGCTTTAAAACTTCTCTCTAGATTATCATAATTGTACTGTAGTCTACCAATCTATGGTTTAAAACTTCTCTCTAGATTATCATAATTGTACTGTAGTCTACCAATCTATGGTTTTAAAACTTCTCTCTAGTTACCATAGTCTACCTGAACAGCACCCTTGGTATTTTGTTTCTAGTTCTCAATGTACCGTAGTCCTTCAATCAAGCACCCTTAGATTTGTCTCTAGTTTTCATTATTTTACCATATACCAGGTAGTCTACAAATCTAACACCCTTAGAATTTTAGTCCTTAGCTCTCATGATCATCTATGGTAGTAAACCAAGCTTGGTCTCTGTCCCTGGTTGTTCACTCATTCAACCCCAAAGACACATTTGAACTCTTCCAAATCAAAGGTTGGAATAGTCCATTATGAAATTTCAGGGGTGAATGAGTTAATGTACATGTACCGATATTATTTAACATAGCATTAGATTCAAACTGGCCCTCTCAGCTTCTAACAAACACACTAAGTATTTACGGTCCACTTATATGGGACTCTTAGGTAAAATACCTGTGTTTGTTGTAAAAACTGGAATCTTCATTGAAGTCTTATTTCTGATGAATTTAATCAAACTGGAGATTAAGGCCTGGTGTCAATAGCCCTGAGTACAGCCAATAAACACTTTAAAACTTATGATATAAATCAATTTGTTTGTCCTTCATGTACAGATTGGCTAGTGTAAACTTTAAAGGTTGACCTTCCATTTACACTGGATTGGTGTATAAATAGTTTCTAACTTTTACTAAGGATCAATATTTCTATACAAGTGTTTCAAATTCATAACCACAAAAGTATGATGATGCATCAATATCAAATGTATGTGGAGTAGTTGTTTTTTGGTTGAAATTTAACTTAGGTATGTCAATACGCACATGTTCATTGAATGGCTGATATAATTTTAAAAGTTGGTCCCTGCCTTGGAAAGTCCCTAAAGTTTTCTGAGATATAAAACTTATTACATGATTTGATACCTAGTTAAAGCACATCTACTCCTGTTCGGTTTCCACATCCTCATTTACAAAATTAGCATATTACCCCTCACAGTTATATCATTGAAATGCATGCAATTTAATCCAATTATTTTTTCCAGTGTGCTGTTTATATAAATGCCTTCTTCGGCAAAGAAATGGTGAATTTCCACTTTTTGCCTTTCCCTCAGCTTAACTTACCTGTACCTGTATATCTACCTGTAACTAATCAAATACTTAAATATTCACGAAACTCATAAATGACAGGCCCTTTGTGATAACTATCACTCGGCATGTTACGGTGATTCAGTACGTAATAGACATAACCATCAGTTTGAGCTTGTATCATGTTACCTATACCGGTACATATATCAACAGCTGTTCCCTTAACCACTGGATCGACATCTCATAGCAAAACTCAACATGTGTATAAATTTATTATTTATTGCATCATAGTGATAGGTATACACGGCCAACACATTACATCAACTTCAAACTCTACAATCTCATACCCTCTTTCATATAACCATCACTAGACCACCCAAAGACTACTGTAATCTTCAAAACTACTTGACTTATTTCTAAAACTTAAGCTAACATTTTTTTAAACAATAGACTGGGTACGTGTGCGTCTCTGGTCAACCTGTGCTTAATGATATGACACACGTTTGACTCTTGACCACAAGCCGCACGTGCAACTACAACCACACCACCTATGAGAAAATTAAACTTGCCACATAAGGGAAAATCATTTACGTATAATTCACTTCGCTCAAACTACGAAAAATTTCATTTCTTTCTGACATAGCTCGTTAGTACAGGTATACACCTGACAGGTGACGGGGAGCTTCCTGTATCAGCCTGTCTGTAATGGTTCAATTTTGTCTACTTGTCAATTGCAAATTCATGTTGATCACATAAAAACAGCGAAAATGCATCAAGAAATAATTTGCATCTCTTTTGTAACAGGTACATTAAGGTGAGGTCATAGCCTCATTATATATAATTTAAAGGTGTGGTCATATAGCCTGTCATTTCTACAGGTAATGTTTTGATTATATATATATATAACAACAATTGAACTTCAAGGTGTATCAGTGTACCACAAGATTGTCAAACTCGAAATTCCAACATACCTGAATGAATGATATTGAAATTTTTAATATCATTAGTACATGTATTTTGGAACATACACAAAACAACAATTGTCATTGTGCATTCCTATACACAAAAACACAGGACAAATAACCATTCAGGAATTTGTATGATGTAAATACAAACAGATTATGCAATCCTTCTCTAGTAGTATAATGAATAAGTGATAATTAAATGTCAGTCTATATGTACTCCAATTACACAGAATACGATACATACATATTATTTGCATTAACCTATTTCCTACTGCCAAATGCATACTTTACTAAAATGGACAACCGCAAAGTCCTCTATATATATATCATTGACATGAATTTAAGTATCCCACAACAAGTTTAAAGATCGCAGAGAAAAATATCAATATTGCATTAAATTATTTATTGTAGCGCTGTTTAGCGATGTATCACAGTGATATATCTGCTAGCTGATCTACATTCCAGAATAACAATGGTTTTGATATTGGCCAGGTGATTGAGATCCCGTTACCGTACCTGTACTATCTCTGACCTACTACTGTAGTATAGCGTAGTTCTCATTGTAGTATATACAGGTAGAAATATTTTTAGCTCAGGTAAGCATTAACAGGAAGATAACAAAATAAATGATGTACGTGTAGAACACTCACTCATTGACTGACGGCAGCTTTGTAGACACTGGCTTGAAATTCCAGACTTAAAGCAACTGTTTGTTTACATACAGTGCATGTGCAATCTCACTTGACTCTCATCCAAACTGTTCACCCTAGATCGCCGCTATCATAATTTTAGCGAATTTATTGTTTTTTCTAGTTTTTAGATAAGATAAGATAAGATATACAACATTTGATGCAGTGCCCTATCTAGCTAACATAAGCCACTCTAATGCGTTTTACAGTACAAAGATATACAATTTAATACAGTCAATACAATTAGCATATATATATTGAGGAAATCGCAGGAGCTGCCTTATCAGGCGCTAACTACTAGTCCTATGCCACCTGGCTAATATCTCCCTATGTGTGTATGCCTGTGTGTGTGCTGGAGATGTTTTGTGTTCTGTTTGTAGTGGGACCGTGCTTCCAACAGTATCATTTATAGTGCCACCTCTCTTGAATGCTACAGCACAAATACCGCAACACCCACCCCAGACCATTTTATACTCCACCTGGGTTGTTGGAGTTGTGTGGGCAGGAGAAAAACACTTTCTGTAATATTCAATGCGTAGGGCGACTTCGGGGATCGAACCCCGGCCGCCTGCTTGGAAGGCCGGAGTGTTAACCACTCGACCAATCCGCCAATAACAGTATTGATGTTGTAACAAATGACTATAAAATTGATTTGATGATGTCATAACAAGTGTAGACAGAAGGTGGGCCATTGCTTATTGAAAAGCAACTTAATTCTTTGAAAAACTTATCAGATAATATCGACAGATTTATATCCAGACTACTTGTTAAAAAGTAATTTCCAGGTTAACGCTAGGCTTTATAATCCTCTACACATTTTATTCATGGAAAGTTTATTTCTGGAACAAAGACAGCAGATTACACCTTATTGTAATGCCCAATGTGGTAAAATTACACAACAGCAGACTTAGTGTGGGATTTTAAAACTGCTTCAAACCACACAAGTTTGTGATGTTAATGTTTATACTCCACCTGGGTTGTTGTAAGATTCCTGTGATGTATTGCCAATCATGTTATAGGTTATGTTGAGATAATTACAGGACAAGCACCTGAAGCTAGCTAATAATTTAGGTCAAACATATACAACAATGACTAGCAATTGTATGGGGAACTGATTGCTGCTCTGTTTACAGCTGGTGACATTTGTAACTTTAGGACAGAATATATATCATCTAACAGCACACATCATTTAAGGCCTAATAAATAATAATCACACTTAAGCAGGCTTATTTCATCTTAAAATTGAGGAGATGATTTCAAAACATTACATCCTAGTGTCACAAAACTTTTTCAATGAAAAGGCAGGAAAAAACATATCTTAAAGCCACTTTTTCTTTACTTTTTATTCCTTAGTTATAAACTGTCTACTCTTATCTTCAAAAACATTGAAATCATATAACAGTCTCTACCATATTTTCTTCACTGATTTTAAGAAATGCAAAATTAGGCAATCGTAAGTGACAGAATATACGTGTTATGCCTTCGAAAAACAGACACACTGAAGGACAGAGTAATTAACGAACAGAGTGAGAAATATTGCACTAGATAATTTTTGCTTTGTTTGATTTTTTTGTGCTGCATCCTGGTAGTTCTAATGGCTATTCCTTTCGCAGCAAGTCTTGTTCGTTATAAATAGTGTGGTTCATATGACAATTGCCTTAATTAATTTACCTTCAAATGTGACTTTGGCCCCTTCTTCTTCCTGACCTCCAGCAGCTCCCTGGTCATTGGGAGTGATCTCCCCTTGACCTGACCACATGTCCACAAAGTTATCCCCTTCTTGACCAACACACTAAATCTCTGAACTGGCCAGAATCACCAAACACCTTTCACCTTTCCGGTTGCTTCAGTGCCATTCTCTCAATAAACGATCTTCAGCAGCATATCTGAATGAAAAATAATGAAAACTACATCAAAACACTTTTAAATTACACAGTAAATTTTAGATTTAGTAAGTCTTGTTTAAATATAAAATAAAAATTTGATCACTGAGAAATACATGTGAAGTTAAAAGCATTCCTGTCAGATCGTGTACCACATATCATGAGGTACAATCACTCTTCACAGCAACTCCAAAATCTTAATGATCCACTTATTCTGTCACAGCTGAACAAAAGTCAAAGGTCAAAGATCAGGGTAGATCTCCAACTGCTGTTTGTTGTTGTCTTAGATCAAAGGTACAGAAGGAAGCACACCGGTGATTAATATACAGGGAACAACCCAAGGTGACCAGTATCTACTGTGTACAGGTTAATTTGGTACAAGTTAACATTGGAAAATTCGGCACTGTGTTTGCAAAATGGAATTTTAACGTTATAAACTTGTACCAGTACACTGGAATTAGTACACTGTACCAGGAGCTGGAGTTTGAACAATGTACCAGTACACTTGAATTGGTACACTGCACAAGGAGCTGGAGTTTGAACAATGTACCAGTACACTGGAATTTGAACACTGCACAAGGAGCTGGAGATTGAACAATGTACCAGTACACTGGAATTTGAACACTGCACAAGGAGCTAGAGATTGAACAATGTACCAGTACCCTGGAATTTGAACACTGCACAAGGAGCTGGAGATTGAACAATGTACCAGTACACTTGAATTGATAGACTGCACCAGGAGCTGGAGTTTGAACAATGTACCAGTACACTGGAGTTGGTACACTGCACCAGGAGCTGGAGTTTGAACACTGCACAAGGAGCTGGAATTTGAACAATTTACCAGTACACTGGAATTTGAACACTGCACAAGGAGCTAGAGATTGAACAATGTACCAGTACTCTGGAATTTGAACACTGCACAAGGAGCTGGAGTTTGAACAATGTACCAGTACACTGGAATTGGTACACTGCACCAGGAGCTGGAGTTTGAACACTGCACAAGGAGCTGGAATTTGAACACTGCACCAGGAGCTGGAGTTTGAACAATGTACCAGTACACTGGAATATGAACACTGCACCAGAAGCTGGAATTTGAACACTGCACAAGGAGCTGGAGTTTGAACAATGGACCAGTACACTGGAATTTGAACACTGCACAAGGAGCTGGAATTTGCACACTGCACCAGGAGCTGGAGTTTGAACACTGCACAAGGAGCTGGAATTTGAAAAATTTACCAGTACACTGGAATTTGAACACTGCACGAGGAGCTGGAATTTGAACACTGCACAAGGAGCTGGAGTTTGAACAATGGACCAGTACACTGGAATTTGAACACTGCACGAGGAGCTGGAATTTGAACACTGCACAAGGAGCTGGAGTTTGAACAATGTACCAGTACACTTGAACTGGTAGACTGCACAAGGAGCTGTACTTTGTACACTGTACCAGGAGCTGCAATTTGAACAATATATATCAGTACATTGGAATTTGAAATTTGCACACTGCACCAGCAAGCTGGATTGGACTACTGTACCAGTGCACTGGTATTTTGACACAACACCAGTACGCTGTATTTGAACACCAGCATGCTGTATTTGAACACCGCACCAGTACGCTGTATTTGAACACTGCACCAGCACGCTGTATTGGATTATTGTACCAGCACGCTGTATTGGACTATTGTACCAGCACGCTGTATTGGACTATTGTACCAGCACGCTGTATTGGACTCTTGTACCAGCACACTGTATTGGACTATTGTACCAGCACACTGTATTGGACTACTGTACCAGTACAGCTACAGTTTGAACATTGAACCAGTACACTGTTTTTAAACACTGCACCAGTACTCTGTATTTGAACACTGTACCAGGACGCTGTATTTGAACACCGCATACCACAATACCACAACACTTAGAGAAAACCTGCAGTGTATATCATCTCATCTGATGCTTACTCGTACACCTTTTAATCTTTCCTGAAGTTCCTTCCTGAAGTTCCTAATACAACATCTCACTCACGTACAAATAGTTCACCTGTTGAAAAGTTAAATCCAGCATGTAAGAAAGTTCTTGAGAAAGAAGTTTAATTGTCGAGATCCTCTTCATACAACCAAGTAGAAGCACACATTTAGGCAATTGGTACACCGACAAACATGATGTGATTACGGGATCACACACTAACGGGAAAATGAACACAGGTATAGCATGGCAGCTGTACGGCATCCATGGCAGTGACGGAACTGAACATCGACAAAGATCTGTGTTTACATTGTATGTCAGTTTATATAACGTCTTCCTGGCTCAGTAAAATATCTCCATAAATCTCCCTTCCATCAACTTTCATCTCAGGCAGACTATAACACTGAGCATGCTGCACGACTACCTGCAAGAGAAGGACAGCTGAGAAGCTAACACTCTGTTAAGGTATAATCTCCATAGCACCGTGGGCACATGCATAATTTAAATATACACCTCAAATGTGATATCATATTGCACCGCTGCCACAAACTGCCATGACCTTCTGATGTTTACGACCTTGGCTGTAAGAACATTCAAAACAATGTCTATGAAATCAATAAAGATTGTACTACAGGTTCTGAATGTGTAAACACAAGTGCTGAAACGCTACCAACCCAAAAAAAAACATGTATGGCTCTGCCAAATACATCGGTAGATCTAGAAAGAGTGGTGTTTTCTGTCTCGATCCTTCCCAATTTCTTTTTGCTATCAGAACTCTAACATAGATCCTTACTCCTGTAGGACATGATAAAAACACCATAAATCATCTTACCCCTCTACCCCTTCCTTTTCCTCACCCCTATCTCCCAAACCAATCCTTGAAAAATCATCAGAAAGGAAACGTCATAATTACCTTGCCATTGCTATATATCAATTTTCGTCAGATCCTCAGTCAGTCAAAGAGATTTTCACCTCCAGGAAGGTGGGGAATGACAGACAATCATTGGAGCGATGACTTGTTGTTGCCGTTTTCTGAATGGAAAATTATCCACACCTACCGTCTGCCAAGGATAGCAGCAGTTTAAGCTTTCTCCCCCAATACACACAGCCCTGCCAACTTAGCTGCCCTCCCCACCTTCCACATCCCCCTACATACATAGTACAGTCAATTATCTATTTATCTTACCTGCATTTGCTTCTACATTTTAATAGAATAATCAGGTATGAGATGGCATACACAACATAATGGAATGAATACAGAGAAAGACTGTATGCACCTACAGTACTAGCCAGGAAAATAATCCCACACTCTAAAACAAATTTACCTTACAATTAAACTGTTAACCTTATATTCATTTTCTTGAAGCTAATATTACTTAGCTGTACACATCAATAACAGATTAAGAGGGGGATGAACTGTAAATACATCTGGTGAAGAAATATATCCTGGAATGTACAAAAATGGGTAAAACAAATTCATATCAAATATTCTTTCAAACAGTTAAGTGATTATCTTACCAACTGTTTCTTTATATGTTAAGCATATCAAAATACTCCGAATTGAACCGTAGTACACACTAGTACTCCTGTCAGACAGATGAGAGAATGTTTGGGTTTTATACATCTATTGCACTGGTATGTACGTATACTCAGCTGTCACTGTGACATCTCCAAAACAGATGTGTAAGCATCGAATAACACAGTACACTACAGAGGCCGATCAGTATAGCTGTCTCACATACCTACAGAGGCTGATCAGTATATCGCTATCTCACATACCTACAGAGGCTGATCAGCATAGCTGTCTCACATTCCTACAGAGGCTGATCAGTATAGCTGTTTCACATACCTACAGAGGCTGATCAGTATAGCCGTCTCTGATACCTACAGAGGCTGATCAATATAGCTGTCTCACATACCTACAGAGGATGTTCAGTATAGCTGTCTCACATACCTACATAGGCTGATCAGTATAGCTGTCTCACATGCCTACAGAGGCTGATCAGTATAGCTGTCCCACATACCTACAGAGGCTGATCAGTATTTAGCTGTCTCACATACCTACAGAGGCTCATCAGTATAGCTGTTTCTAATACCTACTCATATACCTACAGAGGCTGATCAGTATATCGCTATCTCACATACCTACAGAGGCTGATCAGCATAGCTGTCTCACATTCCTACAGAGGCTGATCAGTATAGCTGTCTCTAATACCTACAGAGGCTGATGAGTATAGCTGTCTCACATACCTACAGAAGCTGATCAGTATATAGCTGTCTCATATACCTACAGAAGCTGATCAGTATAGCTGTCTCACATACCTACATAGGCTGATCAGTATAGCTGTCTCACATACCCACAGAGGCTGATCAGTATAGCTGTCTCCGATACCTACAGAGGCTGATCAGTATAGCCGTCTCTGATACCTACAGAGGCTGATCAGTAGATAGCTGTCTCACATACCTACAGAGGGTGATCAGTATAACTGTCTCACATAACTACAGGGGATAATCAGTATAGCTGTCTCACATACCTACAGGGGGTGATCAGTATAGCTGTCTCACATACCTACAGGGGGTGATCAGTATAGCTGTCTCACATACCTACAGATGCTGATCAGTATAGCTGTCTCTAATACATACAGAGGCTGATCAGTATAGCTGTCTCTCATTGCTAGAGGGGCTGATCAGTATAGCTGTCTCTAATACCTACAGAGGCTGATGAGTATAGCTGTCTCACATACCTACAGATGCTGATCAGTATAGCTGTCTCTAATACCTACATCGGCTGATCAGTATAGCTGTCTCACATACCCACAGAGGCTGATCAGTATAGCTGTCTCTCATTGCTAGAGGGGCTGATCAGTATAGCTGTCTCTAATACATACAGAGGCTGATCAGTATAGCTGTCTCCCATGCCTACAGGGGCTGATCAGTATAGCTGTCTCTCATTGCTAGAGGGGCTGATCAGTATAGCTGTCTCTAATACCCTCACATACCTACAGAGGCTGATCAGTTTAGCTGTCTCACATACCTACAGG